ACCAAATTTTCAGTCTCATCAAATATAATATGTACAGACTCCTCAACACACATTGTTCTTTTATTATAAACTCTATAAGCTTTACTATTTGAGGCATATCCTAGGAAAACTGCCTCATCACTACGTTCATCAAACTTTCCCAAGTTCCTTTTACCATTATTGTGAACAAAACATTTACAACCAAAAGATCTAAAGTAAGAAATATTAGGTTTTCTCCCTTTCATAAGTTCATAAGGAGTTTTGTTGGTGATGGCCCTAACAGATACTCTGTTGAGTATATAACATGTTGTGTTCACTGCCTCAACCCAGAAATTTCTAGGCAGCCTGCTTGATATCAGCATTGTTCTTGCCATGTCTTCAAGACTCCTATTCTTGCGTTCCACTACTCCATTTTGTTGTGGAGTTCTTGGGGCAGAGAAATTGTGATCCATACCATACTCAGCACAAAATTCATCAAATTTTGAATTCTCAAATTCTGTTCCATGGTCAAATCTAAGATGTATCAACTGATTACCTGTTCTTCTCTGTTCTTTCTTAACAAAAGCAACAAACTCGTCAAACGTTTCATCCTTACTTACAAGAAAGAAAACCCAAGTGAACCTTGAAAAATCATCAACAATAACCATTACATATTTCTTACCACTTCTACTTTGGATTCTCATTGGACCACAGAGATCCATATGAATGAGTTCCAAAGGTCTTTTGGTACTTACCATCTTTTTGGACTTGAAAGAAATTCGGGTCTGTTTACCTTTAGCACAAGCTTCGCACACTTTGTCATACAGGAACTTAATGCAAGGAAGTCCTTCCACTAAGTTCTTAGATCTTAATTTATCTAGTAAAGAAAAGCTTGCATGGCCAAATCTTTTGTGCCATAAAAGAGGATCATCCTCAATAACACTAAGACATGTTAAACTACTGTTAGGAACCTCGTTAAGATCCACAACATATGTGTTCCCTTTTCGAGTTCCTTCTAAAATAATGTTCCCAGTGTCATTGTGGATGATTCTACACTTATTTGAAGTAAAGCTAACAGAGTTACCTTTGTCACAAAACTGAGAAATACTTAACAAATTGTGCTTGAGGCCCTCGACCAAAAATACATTATCAATAGCATGGGAACGTGACCTTCCTATCTTGCCAATAACAATTATATCACCTTTCATATTATCACCAAAGGTCACAGTTCCACCATAGTAGGCATCCAGTGAGAGAAATCTAGTTTTATCTCCAGTCATGTGCTTAGAACAACCATTGTCGAGGTACCAAGTGTTGTTCCCCCTCACTGGAACCTACAAGAAGAATTTAAACGTTAGAGTCAGGAACCCAGGTTTCCTTGGGTTCCTGTGTAACATGGGTTGATTCATTTTTCTTTACCCAGATTTGTTTTACATGTTTGATATTCTTCTGAGTGCTTTGTTCTTTCTTAGGGCACTTAGCTTGCTTATGCCCTCTATTGCCACAGAAGTAACAAACAATGCTACAGGGCAAGTTGACATACTTCTTTTCTTTCTGGAACTTCTTTTTAAAACCTAAACCTTCAGTATTCTTAGTTTGAGCCTTAGTGATCCAATCAGGAACTCTATACTCTATTAGTTGTTTATCTTTCCTAGCCCTCTCAAGTTCCCCCTCAAGACGTGCCTTATCCATTTTTAACTCTTCCAAATCATGTTTCAATTTTTCAAAATTCGGATAATCAGTCGGTGGAGGAACTTCAGAGTTAGGAGTATCAACACTCAGTTTTAACAAAGACAATTCCACATTCAAGAGTATGTTATCTTGTTTTAAGTTCTCTAGAGTCTCTTTTAGAATTTTATTGTCATCAAACAGACTGAAGAACTTGTATTGAATGTCAAACTTCATGTTATCAACCCATTCACTGTCCTCTTTGTAAGTTATCAAAGCTTTATCACTTAGATGTTTGGATCTATGCAATTCTTTTGGATCTTCTTGGATTTCCAAAACATTATCTATTAGATTCTCTTTAAACAGATGTTTTAATTGATTGTAAGAGAACCATACCTCAGACTCAAGCTCAGCTTTACCAGTTTTTGCCATTAGACATAAATGAGCAGTTTCTTCTGATGGTTGATCCTCCTCTTCTTCTTCTGAATCTGTATCTCCCCAAGCAGCAAGCATGGCTTTCTTAACGTTGTCTTTGGTGAGGTAAGGCTTGTAGACTCTTGACTCCTTGGATTTCTCCTTGCCTTTAGTCTTTCCTTTCTCTCCATCCTCAACAGGACAATCTTTGATTAAATGATCCTTTGATCCACACTTGAAACACGTTGTGTTTCTGGAACTTGTATACTTCTTGTTCTTGTCAAACTTCCTATTGTTCATCATCTTCTTAAATTTCCTTACTAGCGTAGCCATCTCTTCTTCATCAACATCTGATCCTTCTGAGTCTTCAGCCTTGAGTGCCAAACCTTTATTTCTGGAACTTTCAGTGTTGGAACTCAGATGAAGTTCATGAGTCATTAATGATCCAGCTAGTTGTTCCATATTGAACTTAGTAAAGTCCTTAGCTTCCTGCATGGCAGTAACCTTGGATCTCCAGCGTTCATCTTGTGGTAGGCTTCTTAAGATCTTCCTTGCATGTTCATTAATAGGAATTTGCCTGCCAAGGGAGTTCAGTTCATTAATAATATCATTGAATCTAGTAAACATCTCTTCTATGGTTTCTTTGGATTGCATTTCAAACCTTTCATACCTAGACATTAATAAATCTATTTTAGAACGTTTTACCTCGTTAGTACCTTCATAAGTTACCTGTAACAAATCCCAAATCTGTTTGGCAGACTTGCATCCCATGATACGATTATGTTCATGGGGTCCAAGTCCACAGTGTAGATACTTTATAGCTAAAGCGTTCATTTCAAGTTTCTGATAATCTTCTTTATCATAATCAGAAATAGATTTAGAAACTACCTCATGCTTGTCATTGGTTTGAGTTATTTCAAAATCACCAGTTTCAATTACACGCCAAACCTGGTAATTTTCGGCCTTGATGAATATCTCCATCCTGTTCTTCCAGTAGGCATAAAACTTACCGTTGAACATAGGTGGACGTTGGGTAGAGTACCCTTCTTCAAGTTTCTCCTTATAATTCATCTCTCCAGGAACTTACTCAGCAAAATTATCTGCTTGCACGTGAGAACCGTGCTCTGATACCAATTGTTAATTGAGATGAACACCACAAGGGGGGGGGAGGTTAATTGTAGTTGAGTTCCTAAATAATAATTTTGCAAATATAAAACAGAACAAAATAGGAACTTGCGATGCACACAGATTTTACGAGGAAACCTTCTAGTGCCCAACTAAAAGTAAAACCTCGACCCTACCTTAGGGATTTCAAACACAAATAATTCCACTATAATAGGGCAAACACCAAGTTACAACCTATTATAATTCAGCCTCTACTCTCAAGTTCCAGAATGAACTTGCTACAGAACAACACCTTGTTCTACCCAGTTTGAGTCCCACACTCAAACTCACTCGTACTCCCTAAGTACAGATCTTCCCCCTTCTCACCAGAAGCTCTCTCTGTATGCAATGATAAAAATACTCTCACCGCAATAAACCCAAAACCAAATACAAGAATTAACACCTAGTATATGATAGGCAAGCTATGCATGAAACCCGAAACTAATATGACAGTATAACAAGCTTGGCAAACTTACACGACTATAGCTCTGTAAATTCTTCACGCATAAAACTCACAAAAACCTAGGCTCATGTTATTCTCTACTATTTATACGAGTATTACCTGTATAAACAGTAGGTTTACATAAAGATAAATAAGTAAAACTTAACTTATCTTAAAACACGGTTTTTTAATTAAATCCTTTGAAGAAAATCTTTTCAGAAAATAAGATAGAAATATTGAATTAAAAAGCATAATATCTTTTTAACAAACTGTTTTTAAGAGATAAATATTTAAAGAAAATTATTTTCCGATTTCTATCTTTTATCTTTTTCGATTTTAATTTATTTGCCAAGCTAACTGTCACGCTTCTAATAAGTTTCATGCATATCCTACTTAACATATTTATCAATGAATCTAGAAGATAAAATGTTAACTAAAACATTGCTGCGCTGTACTCTTGTTCTGGTAGGTTTACTTGGACTCCACACTTACTAAGTTCCTCAAAAGATCTTAGTCAGCAATCTTCAAGTTCCTGTGAAGGAACGTTCCTGTGAGGGAACTCAGTTCCTGTTAGGGAACTCTTCTTTTATATTGAATAACTTTCTTGATAAAGAACTCCTTCAAGTCTTCTCAGCTTTAGTTACTTCTTCCATCTCCAAGATCAATTTCACCTAGGCTGCACAAACACTTGAAAAGTCTTTATGAGATGAGTTTGATGTAACTTAAGTTCCTCATCATCAAAACCTTTAAACATCAACAATTTCCCCCTTTTTGATGATGACAAACTTAAGCAAACTCTTGAGAAAGTTAAAACAAAATAAAAGGTCGTATTTTTGTATTTTAATTTTATTGACAAAAAATAATAAACACACAACATAAATAAAACAAAAACAAAAAGTAAGCTAAGTAAACTAAACTGAGAAAGTTATGATACTTTCTCAACTGGAACCCAGAACAACTTCAGCCTCTATGTTTGCTTCTTCTTTTCCCCATTTTGGCATTATGAAAAAGTCCTGTATTTTCAAGTTTATGAAACATCCACCAACAGCTCCACAAGTAATTCATCGAGTGTGGGAAACTAAAGGCAGCGCTGCTAAACAACCTCAAGTAAGATCTACTCTTCAGCACAAGTGTTCAAAACATACAAAAACACACTAGTATAAGCAGAGTTCCAACTATTCATTCCATAAACCAAAATATTTAACATCCAGATGAACAATTTTAAAAATTTACAATCAAAATCAATTGTTCAAATACTTAAAAACGAAAATTAAATATGTTCATAACTAAGACAGTGAGAGAAAAAGCTAGGCTGATTTGAAGGTGGGTTAGGCTGATTTTGAGATGGGGTAGGCTAGGTTTCAAGAAAATCCAGAATCATGTTGAAGTCCTCCTTTGTTTGCTTTGTAGAGGCCTCCAACTTTTCTTCAACCCCCTTGAGCTTCACTAGGAACTCCTCCTTCTGTTCCTGTAGAGCCTTGTGAAGTTCTTTCTCCTGGAACTCCTTCTGTTCTTGAAGGTCCTTGGTCTGTTTGAGCATCATTCTCTTGAGTTCCTTCAACTCCTTCCCCTGCTCCTGGACCAATTTTTCAAGTGTCAGCACATGAAGTTTTCTAGCAGAGTCCTTCATTTGACTCTCTACCCTCTCCATTCTGTCAGCCAACTCAGCAACTTGCCCTTCAAGGATATTCTCCTCGACATCCAATTCCAGTGGTTGTTCCATGCTAGTTTGAGGAACACTACTGGCAGAAATCCTCCTACTCTTCCTTACAGGCTGTTCTGACATAGCCTTTTCCTTCCTCTTCCCTGTAACTTTCTCTTTCTTTTTCTCTCCTTTATCTAATTTCTGAATTTTTCCCTGTACTACTTCCAGACTTAACCCAGCAAGGGTTTCCTCATTGATCACATTTTCTGGCTTCTCATTCAAAGCCCCATATTTTCCTTTTAAAACCACTCATGCGTTTTCAAAAACAGTAGACAAAATGGCTCCATACCCTACTTTTGTCCTACTTGGAACACAATGAGCTAGATGCTGATACATCAAAGAAGGAAATTTCACCTTAATCTTCTTTGAAATGCAGAAGATTACAACCATATCCATTAAGCATGCCTCCCCCTTCTTAGAAGTCCTAGGCAGAATAGTCATTTTCACCAAATTGAACAGTAGCTTATTTAGAGGGCTTAGATCATTATGACTCATGACCTTCTTACCCCTCTGTCCCCCTAATTCCTCAACTATATCCCCAGCCATGAAATTTCCTACATTGATACTACCCTTTCCCTTCAAGTAAGTATCATAACCTTCAGTAGGAGCTTTTAGAATTTTACCTAGAGTTTCTAGGTCCAATTCAATCTTTACATCATTCACCATGCTCGTTATTATTCCCAATTTTTCTTGAAAATTATGGCAAAATTCATTCATAGCAGCAGGATACAAGTAATTTGATGAAACCCTAGTCAACAGAAATTCCCAACCTTGAAATTTAATTAAATCAAGAAACTCTAAAAATCTTGCTTTCCTGCACCACACAGCGTCAAGACGATGACCTACTACATACCTTCCTGCCATTGATTCAAGTTCCTCTTGATCAGTTAACTCCTCTTCTTCATCTTCCTTTTCCGATTCTTCCTTTTCTGAGTTGTTCTCCTCTTCTTTTTCTTCCTCTTCTCCCTCACTTATTTCTTCTTCTTCTCTGTTCTCCTCTGTTGTCTCTTTTGGGTTCTTCTCTTTTGCAAATTCATCAACTTCCTCAATTTGCTCTTCCAGAGACTTGTCACTTTGTTTTCTTTCCTTCCACTCCTTTAATTTTTGAAGAACGTTCGAGACAGAGAAATCCCCTTGATCGATTGTACTCTCTACTGCTTTTGGTTTTGGAGGAGATTTCTTAGGGTTTTCAGAAAGTGTTTGAGAGGTAGAAGATGCTTTGTAGTTTACCATGGCTAAAGGAGATGATTCTTCCTGAATTTAGTTTTCTGGACTTTGGGATTCTTCAGAGGAAACAAACTCAGCAATGATCACCATTGAAGCTTAAGGAAGGGTTTTAAAGGGGTTTTCAAAGTTTTACTAAGAGGGAGTAAATTCGATGTGACAGTGAGGTGAAAGAAGTGGGTGAAAATTTGCTTTTATAATAAATGAAGCGGTGGGAGAGAATTTAGGAAGTTTTCACTGTTTAGTTATTAATTGAACAAATTCAATTAATTTTTCAAAATTTAAACACTGGATGAATCTTTCAAAAATTTTAAATTTCCAAATTCAGTTTATATTGATTGAAGTTTCTATAAAACACAATTGGAACACGCTTTCAACATGTATGAAATGTACAAATTTAATAACTTATACTGTTGAGCAATTTAATGAACTTACCTTTGGTAGTTAACAACGGTGACACTTTAGCTATGTTTATCACACCAAGTTTGTGGTAGAAGTTATTTTTGCTCTATTTACAATATTTTTGACTTTGCCATATCTTGGGACTTCAGAGGCTAGTATTCAGCTTGATCATTCCAAGTTCCAGTCTCAATTTCTCAAATCTTTCTCTGTTCAAGGGCTTGGTTAGAATATCTGTAATTTGATTTTCAGTTTGGCAAAATTCTAACTTAATATTCCCTTGCTCCACATTATCTTTTAGAAAGTGATGCCTAATGTGGATATGTTTTACCTTTGAGTGTTGAACTGGATCTTTAGAAATACATATAGCACTTGTATTATCACAATAAATAGGCACACAATAAAAAATAATACCAAAATCTCTGACCTGTTGTTTTATCCATAAGACTTGTAAGCAACATGCTGCTGCAGCTACATACTCAGCTTCTGCTATAGATAAAGCAACTGTGTTTTGCTTCTTGGAACCCCAAGAAACTAAACAAGGTCCTAAAAATTGTACCATACCTGAAGTGCTTTTCTTGCTTACCAAGTCACCTGCATAGTCAGCATCTGTAAAACTATTCAAATCAAAAGAATCACTTCTAGGATAGAAGAGACTCAAATCGTCAGTTCCTTTCAAGTATCTAAGGATTCTTTTTACTGCTGACAAGTGAGACTCCTTTGGATTTGCTTGGAACCTAGCACACAGACCCACACTAAAAGATATGTCAGGTCTACTCGCTGGTAGATAAAGTAGTGAACCTATCATACCTCGATACATAGATTGATCAATGCAAGTTCCAGATGGATCTTCATCCAATCTAGTAGCAATTCCCATAGGAGTATTGTTGGTTTTGGCATTTTCCAACTTGTATTTCTTGATCAGTTCCTTAATATATTTTTGCTGATGAATTATAATTCCCTCTTCAGTTTGCTTAATTTGCAAACCAAGAAAGAAATTTAATTCTCCAGTCATGCTCATTTCAAATTCTCCACTCATAAGGTCAGCAAAATACTTGCACAGAGATTCGTTAGTTGCACCAAATAAAATATCATCAACATAAATTTTTACAACTAAGATATCAATTCCATTTGACTTTAACAACAATGTTTTATCAATTTTGCCACGTTTAAAACCATTAGCCAAAAGGAACTTAGATAATCTTTCATACCATGATCTAGGAGTTTGCTTTAACCCATAAAGAGCCTTGTCAAGCTTATAGACATGGTTTGGGAACTCTGGATTTTCAAATCAAGGAGGCTGTTCCACATAGACTTCCTCATTTAAGTATCCATTTAAGAATGCACATTTGACATCCATCTGGTACAGCCTAAAACCCATATAAGCAGCAAAAGCAATAAGTAAACGAATAGCTTCTAACCTGGCCACAGGTGCAAATGTTTCTTCATAGTCAATTCCTTCTTGCTGGTTGAAACCTTGTACAACTAGTCTAGCTTTGTTCCTGACAATAATACCATGTTCATCTAGTTTGTTTCTGAATACCCATTTTAGTCCAATGGACTTCTTGTCTTTAGGTCTAGGTTCCAGATGCCAAACTTTATTTCTTTCAAATTCATTTAGTTCAGCTTGCATAACATTAATCCAGTCTACGTCAGTTAAAGCCTCAACATAATTTTTGGGTTCCATGGAAGAAAGGAATGCATTGAATGCACAGAAGTTCCTAAGCTGAGATTTGGTTTGAGTTCCTTTTGTGATGTCACTCATGATTGTGTCAACTGGATGAGATTTCTAATATTTCCAGGGCCTTGGAGTGAAATCTTTGATTGGATACATCCTCTCTTCATTATTGTTGACTGGTTCTTCTGTAGGAACTTGATTCTGGAACTCAGGTTGAACTTCTTCAGGAGTTTCCACATTTTGGCCTTCATTATGATTTTCAATCTGTTCTTGAAGTAGAGTTCCTGGTGCATTCTCCAACTCTGGTTCAACATTTGCTTCAGGATTTGTTACTTCTGCAATTTCAACTTGCTGCTTCTGTAGTGATACCGATTCCTCATCTGGATTTTGCTTACGCACAAGTCCAATCTCGAAATCATCATCACAATCCTGTAAATCAACCAAATTTTCAGTCTCATCAAATATAATATGTACAGACTCCTCAACACACATTGTTCTTTTATTATAAACTCTATAAGCTTTACTATTTGAGGCATATCCTAGGAAAACTGCCTCATCACTACGTTCATCAAACTTTCCCAAGTTCCTTTTACCATTATTGTGAACAAAACATTTACAACCAAAAGATCTAAAGTAAGAAATATTAGGTTTTCTCCCTTTCATAAGTTCATAAGGAGTTTTGTTGGTGATGGCCCTAACAGATACTCTGTTGAGTATATAACATGTTGTGTTCACTGCCTCAACCCAGAAATTTCTAGGCAGCCTGCTTGATATCAGCATTGTTCTTGCCATGTCTTCAAGACTCCTATTCTTGCGTTCCACTACTCCATTTTGTTGTGGAGTTCTTAGGGCAGAGAAATTGTGATCCATACCATACTCAGCACAAAATTCATCAAATTTTGAATTCTCAAATTCTGTTCCATGGTCAAATCTAAGATGTATCAACTGATTACCTGTTCTTCTCTGTTCTTTCTTAACAAAAGCAACAAACTCGTCAAACGTTTCATCCTTACTTACAAGAAAGAAAACCCAAGTGAACCTTGAAAAATCATCAACAATAACCATTACATATTTCTTACCACTTCTACTTTGGATTCTCATTGGACCACAGAGATCCATATGAATGAGTTCCAAAGGTCTTTTGGTACTTACCATCTTTTTGGACTTGAAAGAAATTCGGGTCTGTTTACCTTTAGCACAAGCTTCGCACACTTTGTCATACAGGAACTTAATGCAAGGAAGTCCTTCCACTAAGTTCTTAGATCTTAATTTATCTAGTAAAGAAAAGCTTGCATGGCCAAATCTTTTGTGCCATAAAAGAGGATCATCCTCAATAACACTAAGACATGTTAAACTACTGTTAGGAACCTCGTTAAGATCCACAACATATGTGTTCCCTTTTCGAGTTCCTTCTAAAATAATGTTCCCAGTGTCATTGTGGATGATTCTACACTTATTTGAAGTAAAGCTAACAGAGTTACCTTTGTCACAAAACTGAGAAATACTTAACAAATTGTGCTTGAGGCCCTCGACCAAAAATACATTATCAATAGCATGGGAACGTGACCTTCCTATCTTGCCAATAACAATTATATCACCTTTCATATTATCACCAAAGGTCACAGTTCCACCATAGTAGGCATCCAGTGAGAGAAATCTAGTTTTATCTCCAGTCATGTGCTTAGAACAACCATTGTCGAGGTACCAAGTGTTGTTCCCCCTCACTGGAACCTACAAGAAGAATTTAAACGTTAGAGTCAGGAACCCAGGTTTCCTTGGG